AAAAAGATTCCCAGGTGATTCTAATGTGCAGCCAAGGTTGAGAACCACTGCTCTAGACCCTGGTTACCACAGATCTTTCTGTGTCCATGGATTTGCTTATTTTAGCTAGATATCTATAATAATAAAAGCGTAATATGCTAAGTAGACCAGACATCCTTCTGGACAACCTTCCGGATGAAACTGGGACTGCGAGGGAAGCCTGGGTCCCGGGTGCCAGAGGGAAGCTGATGCTGGCAGCCGGGGGAAGGAAGGCCTATTCTTGCATGATTTTTGTGCACTGGGCCTCTAGTTTCATATAACTGGAATCATGCAATGTAAGGGCTTCTATGTCTGGCTTCTTTTCACTTAGCATAATGTTTTCAAGGTTCATCTGTGTTATAGGATATATCAGTACTTCATTCCTTTGACTGAATAATATTTTATTATCTGGATACTAGAGGCCTGGTGCAGGAATTTGTGCACCAGTGGGGTCCCTTGGCCTGGCCTGCAGGATCGGGCCAAAACCAGCTCTCTGACATGCCCAAGGGGTCCTGATTGGCGAGAGGGCACAGGCCAGGTTGAGGGACCCTACTGGTGCACAATTGGGGCTTGGGAGGAACACGGGAGGTTGGCCAGTCGGGGAGGGACCATAGGAGGGCTCCAGGGCATGTCCGGCCTGTCTCACTCAGTCCCGATTGGCCGGACCCCAGCAGCAAGCTAACCTGGTTGGAGCGTCTACCCCCTGGTGGTCAGTACACGTCATAGCGACTGGTCGACCAGTCGACTGTCCCCTGGTGGTCAGTGCACATCATAGCATCCTTAGCATATTATTAGCATATAATGCTTTGATTGGTTGAATGGTCGACTGGACAACTGGACACTTAGCATATTAGGCTTTTATTATATAGCATACTGTATTTTGTTTATCCATTCATCTATTGATGGATATTAGGGTTGTTTCTACCTTTTGGCTATTGTTAATAGCATTGCTGTGAACATTTATGTACAGGTTTTTGTTTGAACACCTGTCTTGTTTTTCAGTTCTTTTGGGTATGTATTTAGGAGAAGAATTGCTAAATCATTCTATATTTAACTTATTGAGGAATCTGCCACCTAGTTTTTTGTACAGCTTGCATGCTAAGAATAGTTTTTACATTTTTAAATTGTTGATTAAAAATATTTCATAACAAATCATGTATGAAATTTAAATCGTATATATTGGAACACAGTCATGCTCTTTTGTTTATGTATTATTTATGGCTGAATTCAGTAGTTGTGACAGAGACTGTATGGCCTGCAAAGCAGAAATATTTATTATATGGCCATTTACAGGAAAGGTTTGATGACCTCTGCTCTATTGATTCATTGTTTTTATTGCTGTTACTCCTTTAGATTGTCAGAAATGTGTTCACCTCCCTAAAGAACATAGGTGTGTAGACTCTGTTCAGGTTTATGGTTAGTTTACATTCAAAAGATACTTAGATCTGTGATGAAAATATCTGAAAGTTCATTTTATTTGGCAAGTAACACTTTTTTTATGGTTCTAGTGTGATCAGTGCCTCTGGTGTCATTTTTCCCATGAAATATGATTTATGTTTTTATAGTTAATGTACCACTTTTCATCCCTGATGTAGGCTATTCTGTATGTTTTCTATTTCATTTATTTATTCTCTTTTATTATTCTTGTCTAATTTTTTGGTAAACTTTAAAATTTTTCTAACGTTTGAAGATGGAACTTAGATGGTTGATTTTTGTTTTTTTCTAATATGTGTATTTAAGGGTATTAATTGCTTTCTAAGCATGAGTATAGTCATCCAAACGTTTGTTGGGTCACATTTTTTATTATCTTTCGATTCAAAATAATTTCTAGCTTTTACTGCAAGTTCTTGTAGACGCATGGGTTATTTAAAAATGTGGTTTCTGTCTGGCTGGTGTGGCTCAGTGGTTGAGTGTTGACCTATGAACCAGGAGGTCATGATTCATTTCCTGTCCTGGCACATGTCCAGGTTGTGGGCTTGATCCCCAGTAGGGGGTGTGCAGGAGGCAGTTGATCTATGATTCTCTTTCATCATTGATGTTTCTCTCTCTCTCTCTCTCTCCCCCTCTCCCTTCTTCTCTGAAATCCACAAAAATATATAAAAATAAAATAAAAGTATGGTTCTTAATTTCCAACAAAGGATGGTTTTCTAGGTACTTTTTTGTTATTAATTTATAGCTTAAACCCACTGTGATAAGAAAAAATGCTTTTTATTATATTAATCTTTTGAAATTTGTTGCACTTTGCCTTTATGGCCCAGCATATGGTCAGTTTTTATAAATGTCTGAAAATAGTGTCTATTCTACAGTTGTTGAGTGTAGTGTTATATATATATGTTGAGTAGGTCAGGTTTGTTAACTTGTTCAGCTCTTCTGTATCTTTATTGATTTTTTTTTGTCTGCCTGTCCTATTACTGACTGAAAGAGGTGTTAAAATTTTCCACAATTATGGATTTATCCATTTTTGCTTTATATATTTTGAGGCTCTTTGGGATATATATACAAATTTATAATTATTTGATAATCTTGGTGAATTGGACCTTTTAATATTATGAAACTAGAGGCCTGATGAATGAAATTCATGCAAGAGTAGGCATTCCTTCCCCCAGCTGCTAGCACCGGCTTCCCTCCGGCACCCAGGACCCAGGCTTCCCTGGCAGCCCCAGCTTTGTCAGGAAGGATGTTTGGTCTAATTAGCATATTATGTTTTTATTATTATAGATTCTCCTCTTTAAGATTTTACCTTAAAACCTATTTTCTCTGATATTAAATAAATTAACTTCTTTGGTTAATTTTTACATGGTATCTTTTTGTTCCTTTTATTTTTAACCATTCTCTATCTACACTTAAAGGCACATTTCTTGCATTTTATTTTTGAATTAGAGGTCCGATGCATGAAATTCATGCAAGGGTCTCGGCCCTCGCAGCCGCAGCAGCTTGCCTTGGCCCTCGCAGCCCCGGCTTCGTCTGGAAGGTTGTCGGCTGTCCGGTCTAATTAGCATATTATGCTTTTATTGTTATAGATATTTATGCTTACTTTTAATGTAATTATTGGTATATGTAGTTTAAATCTGCCTTGCTGTTTGCTTTCTAGTTCTTTCACATGTTCAACTTTCCTTTTTCTCTCCTTTCTTGGGTACCTTTGGATTGATTAGATTTTATTACTTTTTTTTTCTTCTCCTCTTACCTTGCTAATTATATATTCATTTTATTCTTCAGTAGATACCTAGGAGAATACATGTATCACTTTTTAAAAAGTAGCATATTTTATATTTTAAACCACATAAGACATTCTATTATTTATACATTTTAAATTTAGATTTATTCATAATACATGTTCATTGTTTTAATTGATCTTCATTCCTTTCTGCATATTTGTGCTTCCATCTGGCTGAGATTTTTGAAAACTACAAAAGACATCAAGCTATAAATTCAAGAAATACTTTGACCCCCATCTGGATAAAAAGAAAGAGAGCTCTAGAGGCATCACACAAAAAATGCTGAACTTTGCATTCTTCCGTTTCTCCATGATTTAGTCTGGATATTTTCTTCTAGTTCACTAACTTTCTCTTCAGCTGCATCTGACATGTCATTGAATTCTTTCTAAGTCTTTTTCTGATATTTTCATTATCTTGATCTCTTGTGGCTTTCTTTTTTCTCTTTTCAATCAAATAGTCTGGTCTCTCCATATGTCTGGTTTTTATTTTTGTTTTACTTGTATGCCAGACAGTGTATGGGGAAAATTCTAGAGATATTTGTGGATTTTAGAAACTGTTTTTTTTCTTCTGTAGAGAGGATTTCTGTGTTTTTGGTTTTGTTTTGGTTTCTTGTCACTAGTAAATTTTTTTTCTGGGACACTAATAATCCAAATCCCCTTAATCTAGTCAGGAATTGAGATGATTTGAAGCTGAAATTCAGTATAGTGGGTCCTCCATATCTGAGGGATTCAACCAACTGTGTATTGAAACAATATTTGGTGGGAAAGTTACATTGTTGCTGATGTGTACTGTATTATTAGGCCTACAATGTACAAGTCTGAACATGTACAGACTTTTTTCTTGTCATTATTCCCTAAACAATACAGTATAACAATGATTTACTTGACATTTATATTATACTAGAGGCCTGGTGCATGAAATTCGTGTACTGGAGAGGGGGGTATCCCTCAGCCCAGCCTGCACCTTCTTCAATCTGGGACCCCACAGGGATCAGGCCGAAACCAGCAGTCGGACATCCCTCTCACAATCCAGGACTGCTGGCTCCCAACTGCTCACCTGCATACCTGCCTGATTGCTCCTAACTGCTTCTGCTTGCCAGCCTGATCACCCCTAACCACTCCCCTGCCTGACTGATCGATGCCTAACTGCTCCCCTGCCAGCCCGATCACCCCCAACTGCCCTCCCCTGCTGGCTCAGTTGCCCCCAACTGCCCTCCCCTGCCAGCCTGGTTGCCCCCAGCTGCCCTCCCCTGCTGACCTGGTCGCCCCCAACTGCCCTCCCTGCTGGCCTGGTCTCCCTCCAACTGTCCTCCCCTGCTGGCTCAGTCGCCCCCAGCTGCCCTCCCCTGCTGGCCTGGTCCCCCCCAGTTGCCCTCCCCTGCAGGCCTGGTCGCCCCCAACTGCCCTCCCCTGCAGGCCTGGTTTTCGCTGGCCTGGTCACCCCCAACTGCCCTCCCCTGCTGTCCTGGTCGCCCCTAACTCCCCTCCCTTGCTTGGGCCAGTCACCCCCAACTGCCCTCCCCTGCCAGCCTGGTCGCCCCCAACTGCCCTCACTAACTGGCCTGGTCGCCCCTATCTGCCCTTCCCTGCTGGCCTGATCGCCCACAACTGCCCTCCCCTGCCGGCCATCTTGTGGCCATCTTTGACCACATGGGGGTGGCCATCTTGTGTGAGGGTGTGATGGTCAATTTGCATATTACCTCTTTATTATGTAGGATTAGGTATTATAAATAAACTAAAGATGATTTCATGTATACAGGAAGATATGCATAGGTTATATGCAAACACTGTGCCTTCCATGGGTTTTGATATCTTCAGGTGGTACTGGAACCAATTTTCTATAAATATTGAGGGATGACTGAGTTTGTTATGGCAGGTCTGTGTATGGTTTATCTTAATTACTAGTATCTAATCTAATAAAGACAAACATGCAAATTGTACCTTCGCTATGCCTTAAGCACACCCACCAGCCAATCAGAGCGACTGTATGCAAATTAACCCAACCAAGATGGCGGCCGGCAGCCAC